GGCACAAACATCCATGATCATGAACTTGATGGTTTTTTGCAAGTGGATCAGGGAGCATTGCATCCAGAAACTAACAGGTTGCCTTTGTTATCTGAAAATGATGGTGGTGGGTTAATGGGTATGCATAGAATTTCTTGTTCATCATCTGTCAATAGCCATTTTGAGCAAATGAGTATGGAGGATAAACTCTTACTGGAGCTGCAAAGTGTTGGCCTATATCCAGAACCTGTGGTAAACTTCTAATTTGTGGAAATTCTTTGTTTCTCTTCTATACATGCACCACTAACATGAAATTGGAGAGTTAGAGGTGTGAACTATTGATGCTCCTTTAGGTAACAGCTTTAACTTTTAGGATGACTGGTCCTTGGCATGGTTTTAGAGCCTCAATGACATGTAGTCAGAAGTTGTATTGTTTGCTTCCTCCATTCTTCAAAATAAAATTAAACTTCAGCACTGTAAACTGGGCCGGAGCATTGTCTATCATTCAAAGTCTGAATGACTATTGTGTGGTAGGTAGCGTTAGAGATTTGATATTCATGTGCCTCCACCTGACTTTATCATTTAGGATGACTGGTCCTTGACTCCTTGGCACAAAGCATGATCTTTATATGTAAATGCTTGCATATGGCCATTATGTTTAAAGAGTTCACTGTGTATTGAATATGGTTTATTTTGTTACTTTTTTCAATCAATGCATCTGCTACTAACTGATATCGTTGTGGTTGTCTTGTGAAAAAAAAGCCTGATCTCGCTGATGGAGATTGTGAAGCTATTGATCAAGATATTATTCAATTACAGAAGGGACTCTTCCAACAGGTTTTGATTCTCTTGTTTTATGTTTGATAATTAGCTGAAGCATAAGGAAATTAATTGTTAAGGGGGGAGAATCTGCTTGTGATTTTAGTTATTCTTGATTTATTTATTTGCATGATAGTTGTCTATATCTGACTGACCAATTTGCAGGTCAATAAAAAGAGAGAGTACTTTATGAAGCTTACTCAAAGAGTAGAAGAAGGAAGGGAAATGGAACAACAGTACGATATTTGATATTTTATAATTTATCTTGTTCAGTTAGTTGTTTATGCTTTTGATTTTGATAAATTGTTACAAAAGTAGTCTGTATGTCACATATCTAAAGCTGACTCGCCCTAATAGCTAATCTGTATTCTGTTTAATTTGCAGAGCCCTCGAGCAAGTTGCTATGGATAAACTTGTTGAGTTGGCTTATAAGAAGAAGCTGGTAATTATTAGTTTTTTATTTTATTTTATTTGTGCTTATTTCCTTATGCTTATTCGATGAGTTAGTCATAGAATCAAGATGTGGAATTGAATTGAGTTATTATTGGACATGTTAGTTGAAACATGTTATTTAATTCCATTGAAATGTGGCTTATTTTATTACAAAGTTCATTGTATTACCATGTCTTTGCTGTTTCTTCCCCTCTTCATGCTCCCCCTCCCATGGGTCTGTTAGGAAAGAGATGAGTTACTAAGCATGTGGCATGCGCTCTAGGTTATCCTTTTAAGGATTATGCTGTGATTGTGCTTTGGTCATGACTGATTTGCATTGTGAAATGACCCTCTATAATATTGATAGGCCACCCGTGGAAGTACTGCTGCAAGAAATGGACTTTCTAAGGTTTCAAGGCCAGTTGCTTTGGCTTTTATGAAGAGGACTCTTGCTAGATGCAGGAAATTTGAGGAAACCGGAGAAAGTTGCTTTTTGGAGCCTGTCTTTAAAGATGTCCTATTGGCTGTTCCCAGTCATGACAATTATGCTGGCTCGGTTGCTGCTGTAAATATACCGCTTACTCAAAATTCTCAGCAAGAATCTGCACCATCAGGTTTCCCCTTTGAACCATGCTTTATTTGTTCTGGAAGTATTTGCTATGGTACTTATATACTCACAAATAATCAGGGCCGAGACCTCATGTTTATCAAAAAAACAATTTCCTTAGGCATTTTCCCTTTTGCTTCATTTATATTTATATCTATGTTCTTGGTTTCTAAAATTTATTTGATGTAGTTCCGTCCTGTTTCTTATTGAGTAAAAAATTGGTCCTCGGCTCTTGCAGGTTTATTTCCTTGCAAGGAGCAGGATGTGTTTGGAAATCTGGATCATCCCTCCGACCAGGATTTTCCCAGGACTGGACCAATATTAAACAGAGGGAAGAAAAAGGAACTGCTACTTGATGATGTTGGTGCTAGTGCTTCTTTGAGATCTGCATCAATTCAAGCTAATTGTTTCATGGGTGGAGCAAAGAGAAAGAGGAGTAAAAGAGAGAGGAGGGACAGAGGCACTTCTGGAAGAAATTTTGTCACGAAAGGTGGTCGTTCTTCTGCAGGGTATTCGAGGGGTGAGCGTAAAACAAAAGCAAAACCCAAACAGAAGGCAGCTCAAGTATCTACTTCTGGAAATGGATCTCTTAGCAAGTTGATGGAAAATACGAACTCTGAGCATCAATTGGCTTGTGGTGGCTCTAATGAATTGATTTCCATAGAACTTGGTGTAGCTAATGAATTCAATGGGAATCAAGACCTGGACTTTTGGTCGAACATTGAAGAGGATGATACGGTGGGCCTAGCCATACCAATGGATGATCTGTGTGAGTTGAACATAGGTCTATGAAGACGAATGCAGGATACCAGCTGCTTATACAATTCTTGCCTCTCATGATTGGCACTTGTAATTATGCCCATTCTTTTTTTATTACTTATCATTATCTACAATACCAAAGATAGGGGCCCAAAGAAAGGGTTAAAGAAAAAGAAAGAAAATGTAGTCTTCAATTGTTCATATGATCCTTAGGTTGTAAGTAGTACATTCTTAACAAAATTTTGATCATCGTTGTTTTTTTCTCGTTCATTAGCTACATCCAGTTCTATGGAGTCTAATTCATGCAAGTTTGTATAGTCCATGGGTTCCTTAGTTTCAATGGCCAAATCATTATTATTGCAACCATGAGACACAATTGGCTTGTGGTGGCTCTAATGGATTGATTTCCAGTGGTAGCAACGGAAAAAGCAAAGTTGGGTCTGTGTCTCATGGTTGCAATAATAATGATTTGGCCATTGAAACTAAGGAACCCATGGACTATACAAACTTGCATGAATTATACTCCATAGAACTTGATGTAGCTAATGAACCAGAAAAAAACAACGATGATCAAAATTTTGTTAAGAATGTACTACTTACAACCTAAGGATCATATGAACAATTGAAGACTACATTTTCCTTCTTTTTCTTTAACCCTTTCTTTGGTATTGTAGATAATGATAAGTAATATAAAAAAAGAATGGGCATAATTACAAGTGCCAATCATGAGAGGCAAGAATTGTATAAGCAGCTGGTATCCTGCATTCGTCTTCATAGATCTATGTTCAACTCAGACAGATCATCCATTGGTATGGCTAGGCCCACCGTATCATCCTCTTCAATGTTCGACCAAAAGTCCAGGTCTTTGATTCCCATTGAATTCATTAACTACATCAAGTTCTATGAAGTCTAATTCGGCAAGTTTGTATAGTCCATGGGTTCCTTAGTTTCAATGGCCACCATTGGTTTCCGTGCCAACCTTTTTTGTTTTTTGTGTTTATTACATGTATGGGACCGAGATACATTTTTCTTTCATCATGAAAAACTGTTTTGCTTCATGTTACATGATGGTCACTTTTCCCGTGTGTGTATATATATAGGGCTTAACGTTTATCAAGCTGCTTGAGATAATTTTATCTTCGGCTACTAAATCATAACCGTACAAAGATTGATCAATGGTGATAAAGGAAGAGAGAGAAAAAGGAAATCATAACCATTCAAAGATGAATCAATTAATATAAGAAAATAAATAAATAAAACGACATAGTTTTGGGGTGGCCGGAGATAAACTTATCTCAAGCTGCTTGAGAAATGTCTTTCTCATATTTATTCAAAAAAAAAAAGGATCATCCAAATCCAGATTTTCACAAAAAAAAAAGGTGGGGCGTGGGGGAAAGGGTTGTTGCAGTTTATGATTGCAATTTTCAAAAAAGAAAAGAAAAAGAATCGTCCAGTTTATGATTGTAATTTTAAAAAAAAAAAAAAAAAAAAAAGAAGAAGAAGGATGGTTGCTGCAGCAGAGGAAGAGAGAAAAGGGAGGAGAGAGAAAGGTTGTGGGAGAAAGTGAGGAGAAAAAAAAAAGGAAAAAAAAAGGTTGATTTTATTTTGCAAATATGGACCATTGTATTAGATTGTAATCGAACGATAATGAAAAGGGTAGACAAAGGTAGGCAAAATGTGAGTAGGTAGAATAACCTATCATATATATATATATATATATATATATATATATATATATATATATATATATATTACTACTTACAGTTTTTTTCGATTATTATATTTAAACACAAAATAATATCTTCTAAAACAAGATATTTAATTTTAAAAATACATCTAAACATGTCATGTTTGGTATTAAATGTTAATTTTTTAGGTTGAAAATTATAAGCGCTATCATTAGGAGTATAAATGGATTAGATGACTTAACAGGTCCTACGACGCAGTTTATATCAAGCCAAATTCGGTTTATTAAACCTATAAGCTTACGGAAAGACCTATATCATATTGTTTATTTTAAATAAAATAAATAATAATATTATTTTAATAATTTCAAATAATAAAATAATATTATTTTAATAATTTCAAATAATAAAATAATATTATTTTAATTATTTTTTAATCATTAAATACTTAATAAGTTTAAATAAGCTAATAGGCTTAAGCTAATATTTTTAATTTTTACATATAGATCAAAATAGTTATAATTTGAAATTACACAAACTAATAAATCAAACATAACCTAGGCTATCAGGGTCTGTTTGGTGTGACGTATAAGGCCTGATAGTATAAGCTTATACGATACGTTGTGACATTTTCAATTGTTTGGTGTGACCATCGTATAGTATAAGTTTATACAGCAGAATCCCTTAATACATCAAAACGATGTATAACTTAACCCGGCCTAAGGGGAGAGATTAGTGTATTAACATCGTTGGCCAATGAAATTTTCAAAAATTAATATATTATTTTAATATTAATATATTAAAATAAAAATTAAATTTTCAATATATTAAATTTTAAAATATTGAATATTTTTATTTATATAAAAATTAATTTATTTTTTGGACACACTGATCAATAGATTTTTATAAAAATTAATATCATATGACATTTTTTTGAAGAATTATATAAATTTTTTATTAAAAGATTTTTTTATTAAAAATATTTATTTTTATCCTGTATAGTATTATACAATGCATTACTAAATACTAGATGATATTATTTTATATAATATATTATTTTATACAATACCGTGCCAAATGCTGGATAGTATTAAAATTCAATCAGATATTATACAATCAGACCTTATACTATCAAATCTTATACTATCAGGCGTTATCCTATACTATGCACCAAACATGCCCATGGAATTGTCAATATAAGGAATTGTCAACCCCGAGTTGACGGTGACCACCTTTCCCAAATCTGATAAAGAACCCTGATTTCATATTCCCTTTCCCTAAAACTAGTGTATTACCTGTGCCGATGCACGGGGGAAAAAATTGATTTGTTTGTCTCGTAAAAGTTTACCTAAATTTAAAATAAATATTATGAATAATATTTTTTGTTAAAATTTAATATCATGATGTAGGAACAAACAAAAAAGATATATCTTTATTCAGTCTCAAATTAAAAAACGATGCTGAGCTGCACTACAAAATATATTCACATATGCAGGTAACAAAACATGTATTACTAACTCGACGATGATAAAATAAAAAATATTAATTAATAAAGACTTAATTAAAATTCAAAATATCCAAGTGATTTGAAACTTAATATAATGTATTTGTAATAAAAAAAAATTTAAATGTTGTGCTTGACATCAAGGTAATAAGAAAGATGCGTAACTTATACTTGCAAAAGTTATAAAACTCATTCCGCGATTCACTCTTAACGCAACACATAAAAGTATATTGCTGCATTTTACCTTGTCATGTAGTCATTTAAAAATTACAAAGTTTTACTCATCTTCTTTCAGTATTTTCCAGAGATGAACTTTCATTTAGAAAGATCAAATTTACAAAATAATAATACTTAAATTTTTTTTGCAAAGATCTGTGTCGTTAGTATTTTCAAATTTTCAAATTCGTATTTACAAAAATTAAAATCAGAATTAGGAATTTAATTATAAAAAAAGGGTGAAATTTTAATTTAATTATAAAAAAATGTTGGCGGGCCGGTCCTCCGGACCGAGTCCAGTTTGCAACCTCTAATTGTCAGCATTATATACCAGCATGTGATACATTTTTATATTTATCCACATAAAAAAATTCTTATAGTTGCATCTAAGTTTTTATATTTTATCTCAGAGATGGACATTCATTTATTGCAATCAGAATTATAAAATAATAATAAATAATTATTTTTTTGCAAGGATTTGTGTCCTTAGTATTTTGAATTTTACAAATTTGAATTTACCAAAATTGAAATCAGATTTAGAAATTTAATTATAAAAGAAGAAGTATGAAATTTTAATTTAATTAAAAAAATAAGTTGGTGGGTCGGCCCTCCGGGCCGAGCCTAGTTTGCCACTTCCAACTATCTACATGTAATAAGTTTTTATATTTATCCACAAAAAAATGTTCTTATAGTTGCATTTAAATTTTTATATTTTATCTCAGAGATAGACTTTCATTTATTACAACAGATTTACAAAATAATAATAAATAATTATTTTTTGCAACGATTTGTGTCGTTAGCATTTAAAATTTTACAAATTTGTATTTATAAAAATTAAAATTAGATTTAGGAATTTAATTATAAAAGAAAAAGGATGAAATTTTAATTTAATTATAAAAATATGTTGTGGGCTAGCCCTGCGGGAATCATTTGACATCGGCATCAAACTTTAAAATTGGACATCAAATCGTAACTATTGATTTCCATCAATCAACGGTAATAAAGCATTCCAATAACTAGTACTTATAAATTTAATAATATTATAATTAAACTATTGTTATTATAATTTTTTATTTATAACATCTTAATATTATTCAATTAAAAAAATGCTATTTCTTATTTATTATTGTATATACAAATAATAACTAAAATTTCAAAAAAAAAATTGTATAACATTAAAAAATCATAACCTTTAAGTACTAACCATTTGTATTTCACTAAAAAAAAAAAATTAAAAAGGAAAAATTTTATAAACATTACTAATGTTTTCTTTAGAATAAAAATATACCTAACTATTTTTTAATAAATAATGCCCCTAATGTTTTAAATATTTATATCACTTTGTTAACTTTAAATAATGGATTAAAGATTTTCCTGATATGAAATTATTTCTACAAACTTAAAATGACATTGTTTGGTAGTTAAAAAAATGGAGTATTTTAATTAAAATCATAATACAAAAGAGAAATAAAATTTTCAAAATACTCAATTTCTTTATCCTAGACCCAAAACGATATTATTTTGAGAGTGTAAGATATAGGGTCTGTTTGATTGTATTTTAATTTTTTTGTTCTTAAAACTATTTTGTAGAATAATTATGGAAACAGTTGTTTTCTATGTTTTTTTTG